CTAAAACTAGAGATAATTTTAGTTTTTATTTCATTTGAATGATTTTTGTGAGTGCACAAGATCTTTTTATTTTTTCTAGTCTAGCTTTTATTTTAATTCCAGTTTTTTTCACACCTTGTTTTAGTTTTGTGTTTCTTCAGTGGAATTTAACTTGGTTACTTACATGTAACAAATATTAATCAGTATCAATCTTACAGCAGCAGCTCAACTGGCTGCTATTATTAGGTTTAAAACATCCTAATCTCACCTCTCACCTCATCGTGTTTCAGACTCAGGCTTATAAAGGGGTGGACAGGGATCCGTACTCTGGTGATGTGGCCAAGGTTGCAAACACCATGAAGAAGGAACTCGGTTTGGGCCCCATAGATGGAGAGACGCCCAACAAAGCCTGCGCTCGAGTGCACACCGGAATCCGAGACCTTCACGAGTCCTCTTTCAGCCTCTCAGGTGAGCTCTAATAAAATCGTCCTTGATTATGGTGACGTTACACCGAAGTCCTCGATCAAATTTAATAGTGCCGTACGTGTTTTTCCTTTCAGGGTCTCAGGTCGATGACCACATCCCGAAGAGGTCCTCGGCTCGGATCCTGGCCCCTCCCGGCGGCCGCTCCAGTGGTATCTGGTAACCGCTGGTGTTGGAGCTTCATCCGTCCAAGCCGCCGTTTTTTTGTACATTTCTGAACAACCAGAAAAACTGCACTGATTTTCAATCACAGGATAAAAAGTAAAGATGGCAAAAAAAATTCAAGCACGCGTCTGTGATTGGTGACGAAACGCCGATGATCAGAGATTCTAATCTGTGTCTTAATTGGAGCGACTGCTCTGATTGAAGGGCTGTCTCTGGATTTAAATTGTTCTGCCAAAATCGAGCTGATCATACTAACTCTGATAAAGTCCGCTCATTATCACCCTGCCTGTATCGTAAACTGTGAAATGTCAAAACCAGTACAGTTTTTGATGGTTTGAACTGAAGTGATGTCGACCGAATTATTTAAAACTGTATCTATTACACCCCCGTCTCTCACACACACACACACACACACACGCACGCACACACAGGCGTACACTGTAGACACCATAGCTTTAGACTCATGTGAAGTCTATGTGTGTGGGTCCTGTTTGTGGTTACACCGCCCACTCGGCGTCCCGCTGCATCGTGGGTTCCTCAAACAGTGTTTTTGTTTTTGATGAACTGCGCCGTGTGGTGATGAAATCCAACTGCTTCAAACACCGTGTCCTCGTAAAGATACACTCTCTGAACATCCCCGCGCTCTCACTGCCTCTGACTCGGTCACATGTCCCAGAAACATTCCCACCTCACCCGCAGTTATGGAAGAACTCAGCCTGTGAGCTTAGCTGGGATTATAACTTTGGCCCCAAACCTGGTCCACTGTCCTCGTCTCAGGGGTGTCTGTAGAGCTCACAGAGTGCATGAAGGGAACAAAAACATGTTATTTAACCTTTGAGTGACCGAGTGGAGTCATTTATGTGTGACCTTGTTGTATTTTTTAATTATGAAAATGTTTCCTTCCAACTTTTTATTTATATATTTTTTTTACAGAAATTGGTGCGCTGAGGATAATGATATTTTTTAACATTAATTTACATTAATTGATGATTTAAAAATCATCAATTAATGTAACATCCATGTCTTTGGACTGTGGGAGGAAGCCCACACAGGCACAGGGAGAACATGCAAACCTGTGGTGTAAAGTAATATCTCATACATGGCAGAAACAGTAGAGGCATGATAAACACAAATAGATCCACTATTAACAAAAAACTCTCTTTAATAAAATATATGATCATGACTTGATCATACAGGTTATTCAAAGGTTTTTTTGAATAGTGGCCGAGTCCAATCAGGTGATTCAGTCACCGAAACGTCTCGGTCGCTTGAGGGTTAAACACAGAACATGAAGGTGTGGAGAAAACTTACAAATACTCATTTACTCCAGGACGTGACTCTTGACTTACAAAGCTGCAGTTACTCTTTATTTATGTCCCGTAAACATGAGTCCGTCAGTACATCCTACAGCCTTTCTGCAACTCTTATTGCTCTCTGGGTCGCAGGTTCAAATAAATGATTAAACCAGCGTCTGAACATGACTCAAACTTGAGTCTATTTTCATGCATTTAAGGCTCTGTTAGAGCAGCAGGATGCTCTTTGTGGCTCTGACTCTGACTCTTTTTATTAGACCTTGAGCTCCAGCACAGACGCTCTGTAGTACACAGTAATAATAAAGGATACATTAATAGTAGGAAATATTATAGTAAGGGCAGCTTCTTAGTGAGAAACATCAGGTACAAGAAAAGCTACCGTTGTGACTCTTTCAGGCAAACAAGTAAAGGGCATATTTTGGATTATGTTGTGTGTCAGCTCACTGAATATTTTCTGTGCATACTAAT